TCCAGTTACAACCACTAGGATTCTTAAATAACTAAATGGATAACGTTTTGTAAGCTTCAGAATTATTCAAAATTAACGGACGTAAATAAATTAAATTAAAATAAAAACCCTTAATTTTTTAAGCTTAATTTGCAAACCGAAATATTTTTTTAGAGAAGTAAGGGAACATGACTGTGTTATATCGTATCCTTATTTTCATTATTCAAAGTTTAATTGTATTATCGGACGATCGCAGCGCGCCTCATCGAGGTTACTGGTGACCCAAGAGCTGGTAGCTACTTTACCCAAAAGATAAGTTTGGCAATCCAAAGAGTTAATGCTGCCAGTATCTTGGGTACGTTGCCTCGGTGTGGTGCGTTGGGGGATTACTTATAATTAGTATTAGTATTTAAGGAATTTTATATTAACTTTCATTTATTGTTGTATTGTAATTAGATAAGTAAAATTATTAAAAAGAAATTAAAAAAAATTGTATTATTAATAAATACAAAACCTGTAAAGTATTTCAATTAATTATTATTCATTAATATTATTCTTTATTAAATTATTAAATCATAAAATGTTTTGTAATTTTCTATCAATTTATCCTCAAATTAAGAGCGTATCATAACTTTAGTCTGCCAACGTGTGGCAACGTTGTTGATTAATTCAACTAATTGTTGATTTTAAAAAACAATTTTAAAATTACAATGTTTACGACTGATTATTTAAAAAGTTATCTGTTAGTGAACTAAAACGTGAATCGTGCTATAATCGAATAATATTGTTATAAAATTTTTACTGAACAATTAAATTTTGATGGCAAAAATGTATTTGAAAAATTTCTAAGTACATTATCAATTAGGTGCACAGTTTTTAGTAGTAGTTATATATGCAACGTAATTTATTAATATGAGGTCACCTTACATGACATGATGATTTTTAAAAAGCATTCTAGAAAGAAAAATAGAGAGTAAAAGAGAAAGGTGAAGTCCGAGACATGACATGTCCGAGACGTGGGACAAATAAATAAAATACTGTCATGTCATATAGTCAATGAAATGACCTGGAAGAGAATACATGAATTAGTTGCCTCGACACGAAGAAACTTTTTAAGAAAAAGAAAATTATTAGTGTCGTTTTAGTTTTCTAACAGAGCATTTTTTAAATAATCAATTATAATCATTGAAAAATGTTTAATGATTTTTAAAGATTGACAAACAATTGCGACGTTGCCATACTTCGTAATGAACGCTCTTAAGAGAAAAAGCAGTCTGATAAAATAGGTTAATTGGACGTTGTTGTTTTTTTTATGAATACGCCAGTAATAGTGTTTATCACGAAATAATTACGATGCCTGGCAGCGTACGACAAAATTTAGTGAGGTGGGTCAAAAAGCAGACATGATGTATGTTACGTCTACTGTTTGATGTTCAATGTCACGCCGCCTCCACTCTGGCAGTAAGAATGGTACATGAGACCGGACGAAAATATCGACAGAGTGACAACTATAAAGGTTATCTCAGGGCTATACCGCACTGTTGAATATGTGGGATCAATGTGTTTACCGCGGATCATCAAATCACTTGAGCGTTTTTTTATCTTCCGTTCGCATAAAGATTTAAAAAATTCATAAATATACTATTTTTAAATTTAGACTGTATATCGATCAGTCAGTAAGTCAGAACGTCTTTTCAACTTCAAAAAAAGAATAAGGTTTTCTATTCGGTTTTTTTTTTGTTAAGTTCATCATTTACAAAACCATTTGCATTTTTTTAATCTAAAAGAATAGGAAAAGATCTTTTATATTGGCCTTCTAGAAATTTTATGCAATACATGCTTATGCAACATATATTTTGATGGTAAAGTGGATTTAGATTGATTCAGCCTCCCTAGACAAATAGTAGACGAAACTATTGATAAGATACGTTATCGCTAACGCTAGCAGGATGTAGAACGATGCAACGACGCTTGGCATTTTGTTCTCTCTCATGCGAGCGCTTCGTCTGTCATTTTCCTAAGGTAGCTGAGCTACTTACATCCATTATTTCCCTACAATAAAATGAGATCGTCAATACATCTAAAATTGATCGCTCTAGACATTTACCCGGTCGTTATTCGAAAAGAGACTTAAACAATTTATATTTCGAATGCACTAACAGAACATATCACAAGTGAAATGCAGCTTAATATCGGAAACGAATCCGCCGAGGTGTAACACCGATTAGTATTCCTTCACAACACAACACGCTATACGCCAATAATTTCTTAAACTATGCTATAAGAACTAGTGAAGGCAGGATAACGCCCACAGTTTTCAACTATGAGATGTGTGATCGGAATTATTTTAGACTTGTTTTAGCGTTTACTTCGCGACAAACCAGTTGAACGACACAAAAGATAACGAAGTCTGAGCTGTAGACGCTGTTATGGCGCACATCACGTGATACTAAATCCGTGTTCAAATTATTTGCAGACATCTATAAAATGCGCTTTATATACATTGTTTTATAGACATATATGAGTACGCATTTACCTCAATCTACAGGGTGAAATCGGTATCATCTTTTTACTACAGTTTTCTATCAGTAAACCTGAACATTTTCACTAAAGAGTTATGGGTCGAAAACAACAAAATATTTTGAGCCTACCATTTTATAATTTAAGATCGTATTCCATAAAAAAAAAGAAAAAACTGACATCAATTGTGAATCAATATTTAGTTATTTTGATTTAAAAACTGAACTATTGAACCGATTCCGATAAAATTTGTTCCATTACGAAGAACAGAGTTGGCTAAACAAGCTCCCCTATCTCTTGCATTGTAACTACTCAATGATATTTTGTGCCAGTATCCGCAATTGGATGTATTTGCCTCCAACTTTTTTTTTTTTTTTTTTATACAACTTAGAATGGCTTGATATAGAATAGAACTTGCTGGAGTTTCGTCGGGTGACCACAGAGTATTTGTGTTCAGACGTTTTTTGTTTGAGTAAATTCTTTTTATATTATTTTTGTTATTTTTTGTGTAATATTCCTTTTTATATGTAATTGTACTCATGCTTTCCTGAGTGAGCGTATTGGAAGACTGTAAGGCTCACCCAGTGGATGTAATAAATAAATAAAAAAATTTACACATCCTTTCAGGCAAAAAAAAAAGAATTTTCCAAACCGGTTTACAACTGATGTTATGAGGCAACAAAGATTTAAAAAATAATCCAATCAAATTGTGAACCTTCGTCTTTTTGAAGCGAGTTAAAAAGACGCGTCCAGCATTTCAGTAAGAATGGCTTTAAATTTTTTGACATTTGTGAATTTTTAATTAACATAATGTGGTTAGATATATTCTATATCTAGTCGTGTGGTTTCAGTACGGAATGAGCCATCTCTCTCTCGTGGGTGTCCTAAGAGGCGACTAAGAGAACTTAATGGTCCAGGGATAAGCAGCAGCGTGACTTTTAAAACATCACCAAAGCGTAACTGCAGTTTACAACCCAACAATTTTCATTCAAGTATGGAAATTACTAGCAAAAGTCTATTTTATGGGGGAGGCCTATGTTCATTAGTTTACATACAACTAACGACGCCGATTCCACCCTGTAAGCTAATAAATAATGAGAGAACCAAGTGTGGCATGTTTTTTCTTTCTACTGTAATGTTAAAAACTGAATTATTGGGACTGATACTGAAAAGTCTATTTTTCTAAAGCTATCTCTTATCCTAATATTTTAATTTGATAGTTTCGCGTAATTACTGTTTTATGGACCATCACAAACAAAATTTAGAATATTTTTCACTTAATTCTATTAAAAATTTTGTTCATATTGGTCCCTAGAGTAAAAATTTCGCTGTGACATCAAATTGAAATTTTCAATTTTAAAGAAAGATTTAGAAAAGTGGCGCTTCAGTACGATCCCAATACCTATAATCATATATAAAAATTACAATACACATATAAAAATTAATGCCACTTTTCGTTGTAATTTTATAACTCAATTACGGGCTCACCTATCGAAATCAAATGTTTAAGCTTTGTTCGAACTATTTAGTAGATGGTTTATGTGAAGTTTGCACAAAATCGGTCGAGCGGTCCTTCTTTATCACATTTTTTGTAACAATTGAATTCACAAATAGCGGATCATTTTGTTAATGGGGATTTTTGTGCAAATTCAAACTTTTTTAAGATGGAAATTGTGCTGTCAAATTGAAATTTTTTTCAGTGTTGACAGTACAAGCGTGTTGTTATGTCATTCATGCGGTCATTTAAAATTAATTTTTTTTATTACTTCACTTTATACGTAGCGAAGCACGTACCGGGCCGCTAATACTGTATATAATAAGCACTGTACTCACTCTGAAAAAGACTACCGCATGAAGGAGACAATCAGAAATGGCAAACATAGATAGATAATTAAATTCCCTTAGTACAATTATAAATATATAATTGTACTAAGGGAATTAATTTTGATAGGTAACATAATATAAATACAGATCATAAAATAGATAATAATCTATGATGCTGTTTCTGTCAATCTTCAACTTATTTCGACATAATTTTCATGTAGGAAATCTAGCCGAAGTTGAAGTATACAAAATACATACAGTTTCTTTTACTTAGAGTAGCAAATAAACTAACGGCCCCTCTGATTCAAGTGGTAACCATCAAGAGGTAAATAGTAAAAATAAAGAAATATAGTAGATTAGGAGCCTTAAGTTTTCATCAGGGCGAATGCAGTGTAGTATCTTAACATTTTACTTCCTCCTTAATAGGAGAGGGGGGGGGGGAATGAATAAATTGTTGTAATTTGCTATAGCCAATTACAATCCTGAACAATTGTGTCTACAAATGTATAGGTACATTAGAATACACTAAACCAAGTCTAATATTTCCGATCAAACAATATTGTCTAAAATATCTACCAAAACTGTACATATATTCAATAATAATAAAAAATATATATATATATATATATATATATATATATATATATATATATATATATATATATATACATATACTGATATCTGAATAGTAGTTTAAAATATTAAATACGTATAGATTCTCCATATAGCAAAATTTGCTTTTCTGGTGAACAATATGCTGGTTTCTCCCGTATTTCTTCAAATGTTTATTTAAATCTAACATGTTAAAGGATGACCCTACCATCCTCTTTAGATTAACCAAGATGAAATAATAATTTTATGACAGTTCATAAGAAATTACATATTATAATAAAAAAAAAAATAATAATAGAATTAAATCAACAACCTATTCAATGAGACGACAAAGGTCATGATGCCCTTTGTCTGGATATAACGGTTTAATTACAAGTATATAATTAAAATATTTTCTTAAAATGTTTTATTATTAACATGTATTGTGGTTATATGTAAATATTTATTAATTTATTTACACACTTTATTCGCCAATAACACATTATTAGATGTAACAAATAAGTTTTAGAGTACAAAATGAGATCTTATTGCTATCTTTATTGGCAGAAGAAATATTGAAAGAAAAGTGTTAAATACTCGAAAATCCTATTAGGTACACGGAACCGTTTATACATAGCAAATCGACTATGTGTATATATAAAATTCAGTATGAAAATTTATTCAATTTTTTTCAGTTATTGCGTTTATATAGACCCGGGATCCAGTGATAAGTTCCATCCAGACAAAACTGCAAGAAGAAACTAGTCATTCCTTAGCTAATTTTTTTTTTTGTATTTTTATAACAAGAGCTATTTATATGGTGGCGATTGGTGTAGAGCCAACAAGGAAGTAAACCATATCAATTATAAAAACAGATTTTAAAATCGGTTCACAATTGTTTCAGATAATTACATAACGTGCAAAATAAACAGTACGGCCTAAAATCCTTTTTAAATAAAAAATATAACTAAATATGAAAGCGACAGAAGTCGCACGCGACATCTAGTGTTATTAATGAATTGTGTACAATTTTGGCAGACATTACTGTGTAACCTAGTAATTTATTGCTCATAAACAAACTTGCTCGTTAGTTTGTTCTTTCTGATTGTACCTACATAATAGTGCACAAGCATAGATGCGTTACAGTCAATATGATTTCAACATAATCTAGGTATATACATCACTTACACAGCGTTAACATAGGATGCTCCTTATCACAAAACGCATCTTCCGTATTGCAACCGTCGCCACAGAATCACACAGAAACTTAAAGCATGAAGAAAAAATAGTTTTAACTCTTGAGACTATAAATGTCAAATTTGTTCCTAAGTATTATAGTACATAGAGTTTAGTTTAGCTTAACATAAAATATGTAAAATTACAATGTTATGACGGCGTGCTCGACGACATCTCCATGGTCATTGAAGTCGGAACTTGCATCTAAGACAAAAATTACGTATGTTAAAAATTGTGAATTGATAAAAATAAAAATAGCAAGTTGTGTAACACTAGTCGTATCCCGTATTTTCGCTCGTAATCGTATCATAATGTGAAATAGCCTACCATATTACTTATAATCTTTCTTAAAAAATGAGCTTTTAAATACGAAAAGATTATTCCAAATGCGATCAGTAGTTCCAGAGATTAACGTGTTCAAACAAACTCTTTTAATATATTAGTTTAGATTGGTTTCCCTACTGCTAGACATCTAAACTCAAACACCATACTTACAGATTTACAAAAAAAAACTACTAAATTTCCGGATAATAGAGGATCATGTTTTAGGTCTATATATGTATATATCTGAATCTTTTGCATAACATATAACAGTGTGAAAAAAAATATTAAGACAAATCCAATGACATCCTACTAAGATATTGTTAGACAAGTCTTGTGGATTCCTTTAAGACCCACTCATTCAAGTTTTTTATTCACTCGATTTCATTTAAGAATTCATATACAAAATTTTATTTGCATAAAACAATACTTTTAATTTTAATAATTTTAACAAAATATGAATAGAACTATTGTGAAAGCAACATTTTCAATTAAAAAAAGTATTAAAGAAAAAAATTATCCAAATAAATTATGCTTCAAACGTATTTATTATTTTAAGTCGGCTGGAAAGTTATAAAAAAGTTACCTTAGTGTTAGCGGCTTGGTTCGAGAGATGCGAAGGATTCGAGGGATGAGACGGCTGTGCGGTGAACACGCAGTCCGCTATAGAATCGAGCGCGCGCTCATCCAGTACGGCTTCTAGTGCCGCCGCTAGCTCGGAACTCTCCGCGAATGGCGCACCACCCTCAGCTGCACAAAACGTTAAGATTTTACAATTAGTATATAGTAATTATCAATTAGCTTTTAATATTTAAATATATAATTTCAATAATTTCTTGCACAACTAATGCCCACTCAAGACTTCCTATGTCTTTATATGTTGAGTTGACTGGAAGAGATCTCTTTTAGAATTTCTTAGTATTTCTGAGTGCAATAAATATATATCATCTCGGGAGAAGAGTTTTTTCTCTAAAAATATAAAAAGAAGCCACTTAATAAGTATTCCGCGTTAGTAACAATCGCTCCCCCTCCCCCTGCCCCACATACACAAACGTAAGAAGTGGCCCTATACTTCAGCATTTCATAAGAAACTCATCCCCAGGTGGGTGTTCTCTGCTGCTACTAATAATTTCCCCTTTGATTGTGTATGTACACAACCCTCAATGCATTTGGAGCATTGTGTACATAATTTGACTTCACTTTTATCATTATTTCTGGGATCCTACTATAGTAAACCGCTTTAAAACAGGTGAATATACCATCAATACATATGTATTGACTAATAGTGAAATTACCTTGATTGAAAAACTCTGTGAATGCTTCGTCTGGAATTTGACTGAGTACGGCAGGATCTAGAATGTCATCGTGCGGCACTTGTTCCACCTCCACTTCTACAATGTGTAAAATATCACATTTATATATTAGTACAGTATAATATAATCATCTGAATATCTTGACGTAAACTCATGCATAAGACACATTTCTTAAATTGAAAACGCAAGCCCCAAGAGACTTACTTTAGTTCATATTAAATAATAGTATCTCATTGAAATCACACTGTTCATTAATACTATTATAAATGTAGCACTAGATTACCCGCTAATCCTTTCTTTTTTTTTTCACTAGAAAAAAAAAGAAAGGATTGAAGAAATTTTGGCTCGAAGATATCTCTTTCAGAGATAAGTCCATCCTTATTGTACATTTTTTTTATATAAATGCAATAAAGAATACAAGTATAAATACTTAAGACAAACTGCAGTAAAAGAAGGGAAAACAAACGTTATCGTAACAATAGTAAAATGATATATACCAAGTTCATGGGAGTTGCTTGCCACAGGAATGTATTCATTTTCACTAAGTGCGCCCATGGCGGTATCCTCTGAACTGTCGTACGTTGATGAGTTTGAACAAACGTTTATCTCTGAAATGCAAGAAGAAACGATGTATGGGCGGCAGCAACAGCATTCTGTGTTTCGAATTGAATGGTGGGATATGACAGTGAATTTACAGGGTACAGAGGAATGACACCTAAGTCCTCAGGAAAGACAACGCATGGGGAGTTTCATGGGCAAAACAGTCTTAACTCTGTTATGTCCATGGTACTACTCCATGTCTATAGGCGACGATTACCACTTTCCACCAGATGGTTGGTTAGCTTGTTTGCCATTCTAAGTTGCATAAAAAAAGACAAGTGAACATTTTAATTTGACAAAAATAAATTATTTAACTGGCGATTTGATTTGAATTATTTTGTTTAATTCTTCTGCCATTAGTATGTGTGCCTGCCAACACTTTAAGTGTTTCACTTCACTATTTCACTAGTGTTAACTGTTTGGGTTTGCAAATGGTTATCACCATAAAATAAGCATGTATGCACCATGAAGTAATATGGACTTTCGTAAAATAACAACGACTGAACTAGGGTTCAGTAAAATATTATTTATCGAAGTTCTACACTTTTTCTGTGACTTGGAATCATAATTAGAGTTAGACCCATCTTACGTGTAGTGGTATTCAATCATTACCTGTTAATACAAGCTACACTATGGTAATAACAGTATTGTAAAGTGATACTTATAATACCATTCCTAAGGACTAAGGTTTTATATTTCCTTGTACCTGTTTTGTATGGCACAGGATTAATGCTTGAGAACCTTTAGTAAATTAACTATAAATCATGCCCTGACATGCTACCAAAATATACAAGTGTCCATTGACACCTTAGTCCTCAGGAATAACAACGCATGAAGGATATCATGGACGACACAGTATATTCTGTGATGTCAATGATATTGTCCATGTCTACGTGCAATGGTTTTTTTTTTTTTTACAACACAGGGGGCAAACGAGCATGCGGCTCACCTGATGGTAAGTGACTACCGCCGCCCATGATAACCCACAACACCAGCGGCATTGCAGGTGTGCTGCCGGCCTTTTAAAAAGGAATATACTCTTTTCTTGAAGGTTTACCACATTCCATCAGATGGGCCATCAGCTTGTTTGCCAAACTAAGTAGCATAAAAAAATTATCAATAGTTCTTTCCAAGTATGCCACCAGCTTTAACATACCTGACAGAGATTGATCAGATTGCGGTGGTGCAGGTAGCGCCTGGGGCGGTTGTGGGGCGGCGGTGGTGGCGGGTGGCTCCGGCCGGGCCCGCGCCGGCCGCCGGCGGCGCTTCGCCCGCCGCGGGGGCCGCACCGGTGCGACCCATGCTCGCTTGCGGACAGCCTTCTTTGGCCGACAATCTCGGCTTAGTTTGTCATAGTTATCCTGTAAAGATACACAAATATATTGTAATATTCATTTATAATAATTCCTTTACAGAAAGACAGTAGAGCTCTTTCTTCTGATATTTCCATCAAACTCCATTTAATATTTTAAGGACATGTTTAAACCGCGAGCTTGCTCCTTTTCGAAGTCTATTAAAATTATAGATCTAAAAGATAAGTAAAAATTAAACTGTAGGACCTATTATAGGATATTTAAAAATTGTTTGGATACTCAATCATAATTGAATAATGTATTTGATCGATTCGTTATTAAATTACATTCTGAACTCAAAGTACAAAATTGGAAGTAGTATGTTTCTAAAATAAATATAAAGTGCTTTAAAGAGATTTGATTTGTTGAACACGATGATCCTCAGTAAGGAATTTTTTAAACTTGAACAAGACATTGCCTATATAATGGAATAGTATGAATATAAACACACCCTTTTCCACGCGTGCTCTGGACATAATGGCGTTTGATCCTGCAGCGGTAACAGCGGCTGTTTACAGCGAATGCCACCCGCGAAGACCGCTGCACATGCTGCGTACAGCCGCTGTTCGGGTGCTAACGTGACATGCGATAGGCAATACCGGCCGCATGGTACCGGCTGTTCAGTACATCTCTCTTCAGCACATGTATTACCCATTAGGTGCTCCACGGAACCACTCTCGCCACCAGACCATCCACTTTCCCTATAAATATGAAAGTATATTAGTGATTGTTATTTTAATAATAAACCAGCTACATTCCGCGGCTTCACCTGCGTGAATAATATAATTTATCTGTGTACTAATTTTTTTTAACAAATTAAAATCGATGCAGTAATTTTTGGGTGACATAGTAACAAGCACTCATCTATACATCTACCTTCACAAACCTTTATATTAACAATATTAGTAGGATTAGAATATTTATGACATTGAATTATTAAATTTGCCAATCTGATAGTATTATTTTTGTAATAAAAAACATACTTTTTGCTTTGTTTAGTCTGTCTACTTTTTTCAAGATTACGTGGTCGGTGCATGAGAGAGTAATATTTCGATTTTATACATATGTAATACTAATTGTATTTCACGTAAATCCGTACATAAAATATGCTGTGCTAAATTAGGTTACAACCTAGACATATACCAAATTACATTCAAATCTGTTTAGTAGCTTTTGTATAAAGGGGTCAACAAACAATCATCCATCTATCAATCGTTACAAACTTTTGCATTTATTATAGTAAAAGGATTAAAAGAAATATAATTAAGTAAACAAATAGAAACATTACCTAAGTTGCCTGCGCTCCTGTAGTGATAGCAATGTCGGCATACCACGCATTGCTAGCAAGTGGTTGACTGTTGACGTCGGTAGTCGACACGGTGAATCTTGATTGTTCAATTGTTTCTATTATCGAAAAAAAAAAATTAATAAAACTAGTATACATACTTAATGGACAAGCATGAAAGGCAATGTCACTTATTAGCCAAGTCTTGGATAATAAGCAGCGTTGACGCCTGATAGTTATTCATCATATCCGTCGTCAAGTGTCCACTGTTAAAAATGGGCCTCTAATAGGAAAAGGAGGGGGTTCTATGCCGGGACCAAACAGTAATTACATGAGGTTAGTTGTAAGATAATAGCACGTCCGTGGGGCATGCTAGGCGCTATTTTAGTTTGCTACCATAGTGCTGTGATTTGCAATAAATTTTGGTACATTATTTTGCTAATTCTATAAAATGAATTACTATCACTAGATTACATCTTCTGATAATAATCAATTTGACACTAGGAACAATTTACAATTGATATAACTATCTATGTATGGATGTGTTCAATATAATGATTATTTTTCTGCGATATAATACGAATACAATAGCAGAGAAACTATCTAAATACACCGAATTTCAATACGAAATCACCCGACTTTGGAACTTACAAAAGTGACAATAATTCCAATAGTACTTTCCACGACAGGTGTAATACCGAAACAACTGCATCAGGCGATAAATACTCTAAAGTTACCACCCAATATTTACCATCAATTACAGAAAGCCGTAATCCTAAATACATGCCGAATTGTCAGGAAGCTTCTACAAATTGGACTAGATGTTCCTGGTACATGTATAGGTTAACATAATATTACAAACAGATTACCAGACAAATTACATTTATACAAAAACATAGCACACAGTTATGCACTTAGCTTAGGCCCGTGTACATCTGTAAAACCGGTTTTAAGCCGAGATATCGTAAATTTAAAATAATAATAATCTTTATTTAAGTAATAATGTCTTTCTTGTTAAATGTTATATTGTCACAAATATATAAAAATCTATGTTTGCAATATACTCGTGGACAAAGTTCAGTACGCTAGACTACACAAGTTACATAGCATATTTGGAAGCATCTAAGAAGCTGCACCTCTGTAGAAAGTAGGTCACTGTGGACCCAGGACTAGTTTGCAACTGACCTTGATCAAGGCAACCAGCGCCCGGTGGTGCGTATGCGAAGGCGCAAGCCGCAGGGCGGCGCGGGCGCGAGCCACGTGCCGCCGCAGCGCGCCGCGGCGCAGCGCTAGTCGTGCACCGCGACTCTCCGCCGCACTCTCCTCTACACACACCGGGCCCCAGCCCGGGTCTGCAACAACATATGTTACAAGTTAAGAGCGTCCGTAATGTTCGCTTACCAAAATGTGAGGTCACAATTATGCATAAATTTTCAAAAATAAATTAATGTTTTAAGTGATTATTTAAAAAGTGCTCTGCTAGCGAACTTCAAACCATTATTAATTAAATGTGAATGAATGTATTCATTGCTTATGAATCTATTATTAAAAACTTTGATTCTAACTGCAACGCAAGAATTCAATAATCGAAACCTAAATTTGTAATAATTAATAATTATTAAAATGGTATGACTTGCGTCGTGCTTTGCCTTACGACTGAAAGGGATCATAAGGTAAGCACATCATAGGTCTTTATGTATAACTATGACTGCCTACAACTTCTTTACATCAAAAGGTGATATACTAGTACCAGTAGTAATAATGGGGAAAAAATATTATTAGTGATTGGGTCTAACAGCTTCGTTGCTTGCAATATAAAACCATCGTGGTTAATTCTTGTGGAATTGATCACGATGAGCTAACTTGTTTTTATCCTTAGCTATCATCTCTAACAGGTAGCCCGCCAGCGTATATTGATAGTACCATTCCATTTTCACCAATTAACAAAAGTAGTAATAGTAATGAAAATCAAAAGAAAAGGCTTACCAAAATCAGGCATATAATCGTCGTCGCTGCTGCTGCTGTCTAGTTGGCGGCAATGTGGCCTGCGGCCATCGAGTGGGCCACACGCGAACAATTCGTCGCCGGGTGCGTGCCAGGCGCGGTTCAGCACGGGCACTGCTCGCTGCGGCGGTATCCGTTGTAGCGCTTCATGGACTGCCGGTCCACGACCACGTCGAGATTTCGCTTGCGACGCTTTTCCTGTTAGGGTAGTTGTTACGTATGTGTCATTGTGTCATTATGTTGTATATAAATGATGCAGCATGTATTTAAATGGAATATACATACATATATTACAATATATTAAAGATACCAGTACACTTTAATTGCAGGCAAGTCCTAAACTTTATTTCACCAAACATGTTTAGATTATTTATTTTAATATGTTATTACATAAAAATAAAATATTCTGTCTAATCACGTATTGAAATTGTTTGTACCTCTTACTCAATAAACAAAAAAAGTGCCAGATTTATAGAATTATGAATTCTAAATCATTCTTCCCTTTCCTAAATGCAAAAATGAGAATGGTATTAATTATTATTAGTGAACAAATTAGAATGATTTTGTTAATCAGATGGATTCCTAATAAATAGTTTAAAAAATAATTTTGAAAAATAGAACAAAACCAACAATGAAATAGCCAACTATATAAGTTATTTTATTTTTGTTTTATTTCTGCCAATACAGCATTAATCCTTGTTAACAGAAATAAGAGAATTAAGTACATGGATGTCACATTATACAAATTATATGGGCATAGTGTTACAAGTAGACCCCATCAAATTATTTGACCAGTATTAAATACAAGTAAAAATTATGATAAAATTGTTATAATAAAAAAAAAATCATAAAATCATTCATATTACTTCATTATCAAATTTTAAAATCCGAAGCTAAGGGGATTTTGTTAGATTCTATTAGTTTACAAATTTTGTACTACATTTTCAAATACACTCAACACGATATTAGGCAAATCTTCACACCATGTATAATTAGAAATTAGACAAGCGACAATGGCCTCTATTTTTATATACTTTCCTTATCCACTTGTATAATTTGTGCATTCAATCTGCTTAGATAATAAAATTTGTCATCAAAAGGATTTATGAACTTTACTTTCCAATATATTCTTTGTTTGCTAATCGTAATGAAAATTTTCTTATAAAACAAGAAATTATTTACTATTGTAATCCTTGTCAAAATATTATTTGACACTTATCTACTATATTAATATAAATAATGTTTTCAAGATATACATAACAAATATTATAGAGGTTTATATGATTATAGAGTTTTGTTTACTCCAGTTATATGTAAAAATAGTAATGATACTATGTATATGGGATTTATATATTCTATTTTTATTTATGCCTGCAATTAAAAATAAACTGTCAGTTTATCTCATTGGGTTTACTGGAAGAAATCTCTTTTAAAGATAAGCTTACCCTTGTGCACTATTATGTTTATTTATTGTTGATACAATACCTTTTTGTGTACAGTAAAGAATACAAAATATTTATGCAGTTATATTGTATGATATATTTATATACATTAGTCTTATGACTAGTAGGAAAATACCTGATGGTGTTTTCTTGACAGGAGCTGGAATTTTAATAGTAGGTTTTGTATCTTCAGTTTTGTTTACTGCCGGACCATTCTCCACTAACCCTTGTTCCCTCTTATAGACATCCAAAAAAGTTTCTTGTCCTGTCTGTTTTATAGCAGACACAGTCTTAACATTGTTGGAATTAACACTATTAATACTGGTTTTCACACTAGGAGTATGTACTGTACCCACACTCCCACCCTTAGGGCTATGAACACTTGGTCGGCGTACTTCACTAACTGAATTTATTCGGGACTCTTGAGTCACCTGACTATGGCTTTTAGTTTTTGAAACTTTGGTATTAGTAGTCTTACTGTCTTTGTAAGTAGCTGTTTTTGCAATGGATGTATAGTGACCATTAGATATAACCTCGTTCTTGATTTCATCCTTAATGTCACCATTTGTAAGTGTGTCTATGAGATCTACTTCCTTGTTCGGACTTTCTATCATTTTACTTTTGACATCAACATTGTCTGTATAAATAAAAGCATCTTCTGTGTGACTTACAGTTATTTCACCTGCTATGACATCAGAGTCATGGAACGTGTACAATTCGTTGGGATCTATTTTAAATTTGGTATGAAAGAAATTGTCATTGAGGTGTGTTACATATGTCTGCTCATCTCCTGAACTGTCATGTATGAACATGTTAACATCACTCCCTGCCACACCCTCCACTGCCATTTTATACTGCGTGGCGCAGCTTGCATCAGATATGTTTTGTGGAATGCCACTGAAACTATAAGAAAGTTATACTCATTATAACATTTAAGCATATTTATCTAATTCAATTTACATTAATTTAATTATCAAATTTGTAAAAAATATTGCAGATATGACTGAAAACAAATAAAACCATAAATATCAATTTCTTCTAACTCTCCTTCTTTTTTAAATAGCTCCATAATATGTATCCATCTTAAATACAGGGGAAGTAAGCAGAGGTAACGAAGTAAAAGGAAATAGAAAAGTTTAAAGAAATAAGTTTATTAAATAACATACAACATTGTTTACACTTTACTATTAATGTACCTAATTTATGAAATTCATGACTTTACATATGGTATGTATACTCGCCTTTAAAGCTTTTTGTGTAATAATTTTTAAATATAATACATTTGCTTATGTAAATATAACAGTTAATTGCTTTTACATTTATAAAAATAAAATTATTGCTATAATAATGAAACAAACATTTTATATTCAATTCAGAACAATTGTTGCATTCATAACATTGTACTAAAGCAAATAGATAGGTACTGTTATTATTACTATATGTATAGTTCTTATTTTCTTTTTTAACTTAATTATAAATTGTTAAAACTCACCCCACATTTTCCGACGTACTCAAATAAGACATAATGTGTTCATTTTACAACTTGATGATAAAAATAATTCTGCTAGTAGATAGTATTACAAAATGCATGTGGTTCATCTGCATTATGCTGAAATAGTTAAATCTTTGTTTTATAATAAAATATTTAAGCTTTTTATTTAAATACAAGTGAGCACTAGAATACAAATATTATGCTTTTGAGAAATCCGAATTACAGGAATTAGGTATTACAATGACAAACAGTGACACCTGTCAAATAAATAATAGTGTATATATTTTCTTGTTTTATTGTAGTTCCCAGACAACAGATAGCCACTTTCAGCGTCTTTGTAAATTTAAAGATACGAGTTGAATATTATTATTCTTTGAAAACATACACTTATAACTTAAATTATATTTAACTCTTACATGATAATTTATATAATTTCCGGCACATTTTAACTTCTTATTGAATATAAATTAATTTTAAATAACAATTTGATGAATAGACACTTAGTTTCTAGATATATTGGCCCGAGAAATCTAAAACAAAACAATTTTATTCCAATAACATTAAAAGAATGACAGAATATAGCAAATGGCAGCCAACCAAAATGCGGTTGCGTTCTGAAATTAATTTGACAATTAAAACTTGACTTAATCTAGATATGATTCAAGTCAAAAACCGTGTACGGAGGTGCATTGGACCCTAAAAGAGACACTACTCAATACATTACATTTAAGTTCATTAGAAATGAACTTAAATGTAATCTATTGAGTAAAGTTATATTGATACTTGGTCATTTAAATCCTTTTTATACTATTAAATGCTAAGAACAACGAAATTATATATAAGAAATAATAAAATAAAATCTGTAAATCATATGGTTGCTTTTTTCTTTTTATGCAAATATAATTAGTAAAAAGAAGACAAAAGATAACTCATCAGTTGCTATTTTTGTTAATTTATAGCACGCTAGTGTATAAAAAATATTATACGGCTATATAACCCTACCGAATTCAGATACAACCTGCTTGCATATTTTCTATATAAACTGTGTCGAATATATAATCTAGTAATGTAAATGAACAAAAAGTTTTCATACACATTTTCTACACACTTGTCTGCTATGAATTGAGAAAAATAGCAACTGATGGTGTATCTTTCGTTCTCTTTTTACTAATTGCCGATATAGAAATTTTACTGCGGTCCTAGTAATATAAAATAAATAAGTTAAAAATGAAGATTAACAGCAAATAATACTGCGTAATTGCTAAGATTTCGGATGTTCTTAGGGTAACTGGATAACTCATCTAACTGTTAATTAGTAATTTCGCTATTTTGAACGGTTCTTATGTGTTTCTAAATGTAAATAGAAAGTTTGACATCTACAGATCATAATGATGATTGTAAGGTAAAGGTACAAATGTACAAAGCTATAAATTGGAAATAAATTAATATTTAAGTTTATTGAGCTAAATTTAGTCTGTTTTATGCAAAATTAAATTTAATAATTTATGTTGATTGTATGCTAGTTGTATATAAAAAGAGATGAAAAGAAGTAGTTTAACAAATTATTAAATATTCAATGCAATTTAAAAAAGCCGCTCTTTTTGTTCGATTTGAAAACCCCATTTTCGAAGCGTTGTTGTGAATCCAATATGGCGATATTTGATGTTACACTATTTTGAAGGTACGTCATTTTGACGATTGTATAATGGTAATTCCGGTAAATATCTATTTTTTCTTAAGAATTTCTTATTGCGATTATGAATGAAGTTATTTATATTGTTTTTCAGAATGTTTTCATAGTATAGTGAAAGGCGTATAACTTGTATTGTTTTGTTTGTGATTTCCGATAATTTGGTGATAATTTTATTGTTACAATAAATATTGTTATATAGTTATGGACATGTGTACAAATTAAAATCATTTAGAACTTCAAAATTCACTATGTGTGCTGTTCTTTCATAGTTGTGTCGATTTTATATACATAAAACAAGAATGTAATTACCGTAATTAGGATTGTGAATACGAAATTTTCTGGTTACTTTATAACCAATTTTTGTTTCAGAAGTGCATATGATTTTATACAAATGGGAGTTAAATAATCTATTATTCGGGTGCAAAAGATTAGCGCCTTAATAATTGATTTATTATTTGAGTACATACTCTTTAGAGCGCTGACTATCATGACAGACACGAAACGAAGAGTAAAGCTTTACGCTCTGAACGCTGACCGACAATGGGACGACAGAGGTACAGGACATGTTACATCGTGTTGTGTGGAAAGATTGAAGGGTACTGCCCTTCTTGTGAGAGCAGAATCCGATGGTTCCCTTCTTTTGGAGAGCAAAATACAACAAGACACAGCATACCAAAAACAACAAGACACGCTTATAGTATGGTCAGAAGGCGACAATTTTGACTTAGCACTAAGTTTTCAAGAAAAAGCTGGCTGTGACGAAGTTTGGGAAAAGATATGTCAGGCAAGTACTTGTTTGTTTATACAAATTAATAGTTGTAGGTTAGGATATGATTAAAAGCACCAAATTAACCTATTTACATTTATTTCGTGATGATTCAACAACACAAGTATAAATTTAACATAGACACCCATTTTTCACAAAGGGGAGATATATTATTTTATATTGTAGTTTTACATAATTTAAATTTATTGTTAACCTTTATGATGAGAGAAATAAAATATATTATAAATGGTTTTCTGTAACCTGGGCATTAAAATATATTTCTATAAAATAATGACACTAATGTAGAGTAGTAATTAACTAATATACACTACTTATTCCAATATTGTTTTGTAATATAGTAAAAAAAAATTATAAGATGTAGTGCTCTTACAAAAAGAAATACTTTATTTCCATATTATAAGATATTAACATTTTTTTTATTCACACTGAACTTAATTTTTTTTTCAGTTAATTTTAATAATTTCTTAATAACTTACTTTAGCAATTATCTATTGTTTTAAGGTCTAATAATAGTATTTATAAATAAACAATTAAACAACAGTAGTTACTAGATAAGAAAATAAATAACATGTATGGATTTATGATTTTTAGCCTCTATATTAGTTTTTGAACTTATAAAGCTAATTTTAAATGCATAATAATAATAATAGCCTTCACTCAGAGATTACATTAATATTTTTATAATTTATATCCTATTAATTGCTATTTATTATACTTATTTATAATTATTATGTCTTATTGTAGGTCAATTGGACCCTAGTGTAGAGCATGACATTAGTGTCATCTATTCATTATTTGTATGGTCTTCCTTCTTTTCTTGTGTTTTTTGTACTACAACATTATTGCTCTACTTCATTTATAATTTTCTTTTTCCCTTAATCATGTGCCTTGTCCATTATCATTTTCAGTTTTTTGATTGCTACTTTAGTTTTTTTTTATTGTTTTTGTTTTAATCAGTATTATTTTTTTATATCCTTATATCCATTCTTTCATCCATTGCATTCTGGCAATTTTTTTTTTTATGATTTGTATGTACAATTGTAACTGGTTTGATTTTGCAGTGATTCACTAATCTTACATATCACAATAAGAAAAAAATATAATCTTAATTTCAGGTGCAAGGAAAAGATCCATCAGTTGAAATCACACAAGATATTGTTGAGGAATCTGAAGATGAGAGATTTGATGAAATGTCTGATAATGTACAGCCTGTAGAATTACCTGCTTGTGAGATGGGTCGTTTAGAGGACATCAGTGAACTTGTAAACAGTTGCTTAGTATCACCGGCACGCAAGGATAAGCTTGCAGCTGCATTAGAAAGCCAACACTATATAAAGAAACTACTCAATTTATTTCATATGTGTGAAGATATAGAAAACATAGAAGGATTGCATCATCTTTATGAAATTTTCAAGAGTATATTTCTTCTAAATAAAAACACATTATTTGACACAATGTTCGCAGATGATACTATATTTGATGTGGTTGGCTGTTTAGAGTATGACCCAAGTTTGCCACAACCTAAAAAGCACAGAGAATATCTTAGGGAACTAGCAAAGTTTCGTGAGGCAATTCCTATTAAGAATCAAGATTTGTTAGCAAAGATTCATCAAACATATAGAGTACAGTATATACAAGATATTGTATTGCCTACTCCCACAGTTTTTGAGGATAATCTGCTTAGCACATTATCTAGTTTTATATTTTTCAATAAGGTAGAAATAGTGAAGCTCATAGAGGATGATGAGAAATTTTTAACTGATTTGTTTAAGCTGCTTATGGATGATAAAACACCAGACTCAAAGAGACGTGATTTAGTTTTATTTTTAAAGGAATTTTGTAATTTCTCACAAAATCTACAGCCACAGGACAAGGATACATTTTACAAGACGCTAGTTTCACTGGGCATTCTGCCAGCTTTAGAGATAACTCTAAGTATAGATGATCAGAAGACGAAGACTGCATCTATAGATATTTTAACATATATTGTGGAATTTTCACCATCTGTGGTGAGGGATTATACATTACAACATGCTAATAATACAGAAGAGGTTAGTATTGGGATCATATTCGATTTTAATTACTAGTTTTTGTGTATTTGGTTTTTTACATGTTTTTAAATTTATTTTTATTAATACCTTAATTCATTAATTTAGATTATGTTTAGTCCTAGATAGTTCGAAATACAGTGGATTTCATTTATTACGACCTTGGTTGTAGCGACCATTTGCCTATAGTGATGTTAAATCTAAGTCCCTTGAATTTAAAGCATATTTTAGTACAAAATTTATGCGACTATAGTGACTTTGGATGTAACACCGAGTTCGGGTACAACAACTGTTTTTAATGAATCATTTGTAACAAATTTCTAGAAATCCCATGCAGATATTGCGACGGCAGTTGACCGCTAAAGAGACAACAAGATTTCTTTTTTCACAAACATTTCTAACCTTTTGTTTAAATCCACACAGATGGTCAGCAAGTGTGGAGACCTTTACCTATTGTTTATAGATATCAGCTATGTAGGTAGGGAAGCGTGTACGTTTTGGAGTTGAATTTATGGTTCAGTTACAAAGTGATATTCTGACTAGCAACTAAGTTTAGTAAACTTTTGGATAAGTATGAGTGCCTCGATGCACATTCACTGTTAAAGAAAAGACGGATATCATTTCAAAATTGAAAAACGGTGAAAACAATGCTGATTTGTGCGAAGAAAAAACTATACATGTGTACGTGTCTATATCTCTTTACCTTTGCTTGTAATGACTTACAGATATAATGATGAAAATAGAGTGGTCCCTTCATCGTCGTTATACCCGAAATCCACTGTATATACATCTTTTAATGAAAAAGTTAATGTTGAATGGTTGGACAAGATAAAAAGAGTAAAAAAAAAGTAATAATGTTTTTATTGTAAAAGGCTGAGCCTGTCTTGTAGGAAACAGGATTCACATTACCATATACATGCTTACAGAAATTAACATGGCTTTTCTATTCTAGTAGCATTAATAATTGTTTACCTACTGATTTATACAGTTATTTTTATTCAGATTTCACCACTAATGTTTATTTAATGACACTCCAAACTAATCAATTTCATTTAAAATTGCCAATGACCAAGGTCATTAATATTATTATTACTATTTTGAAGATGTCTAAACAAACAGTAATAGTATGATGGAGTAATGCAGATTATTTTTCAGGAGCAAATGCTTCTAAATATAGTAATAGAGCAAATGCTTCGGGATCGTGACCCTGAACTTGGAGGAGCAGTGCAATTGATGGGGGTTTTACGCATTCTCCTTGACCCTGAGAGTATGCTTGCATCTGTTAACAAGAGTGAAAAGGCAGATTTTCTAAATTTCTTCTACAAACACAGTATACAGACACTTATAGGTAAGTTTATCATTAATCTTTTACAAAATTTATATTTCAGTATTAATTTAAACATCTTTAAAAACATCATAAATACAAAAAATTAACTTGTTATATTTCATACTAGCTTTTACTACTATTTCCTCTCCATGACAGGTATATATTGACTAATGGGGACAAAAAAAAAATTCATAGTAATTGGTTAACTAACAGGCAACAAACAAACAAACTCACTTCCATGTTTATAATATTAATAAGGATGTATAATACTTGTTATTAGTGCAAAGTTTTTACAAGTAGATTTATATACAACATATTCTATGATAAACATTTTAGCTTGTAGACAGTGCTCTTTTTAAATAATAATTAATATGGTATATGGAAAATTATTTATTTAAAAAAAATAACCATATTTGCTTATGCACACCCTTAATTACCAGAGAAATGGAATATTTTTTTCCAAAGAACATGACTCAGAAATTAAAGTTTTCCATATTAACTTGGATAGCTGGATGTGTCATGGAAGTAAAACTTTGGTTTTACTCATACAATATTAAAAAAGGGTACTAATGTATTAGATTTTATCTTCTATAACACAGTAATATACAGAAAAGAAAATAGAAGTAATACATGTGGAACACTAACAATTGCAGTACAAATTTATTATCAATATTATACCTCAATTTGATAAACAGAAAAAAAATCTTATATATATTTGTTGCAGCCTTGATCTTATTTCAAGGTAATATGCTACTTATATAATAATAATAATAATAATATTTATTTAATTAGACTACATAAGGCCCATTTTGTTAGTTACAAATTGACTTAACCTATGTTAGTAAATGAGCGGTCATAACGCTCTTACATTGATAACCTGTCCCACCCAATATTTTAGGATGGGACAGTCCATTTTATCAGCAATTGTCTTCAGGACACTGTTTGAGCTAACACGCACCCTACCCAACAGCGAAACAATTCGTTTGCGTCGTATTGCGTAAAAATCATCTGTACGCTCCCGTGCAAACACATCAAATTAATATGTTTTTCTGTGTAATTGATAATGAAATATAATCAATAATTTTTTATGCTAAGTTTTTTATTGCAATAGGTGCATATAAACATAGTCTTTTCTTTATAACCCACACTGTGGGACACTAGCTGTGTCCCGCAGCTTCGCTCGCGTTAATCAATATATAAAGTGTTCTATATGTTATAGGATGTAATGTATCTACATAGGTACCAAATTTCATTAAAAATATTCAGTATTTTTTGTATAAGATTAACGAATATCCATACATACATCCTTAGTTTTTGCATTTATATTATATTATAATTCTATATTTTACTAATATCATAAAATTGTATTTTAACAATGTCTATATGTAAAAGATACTTAAATAAAAAATGTGAAAGGGAATAATAGAATAATAGGAACAATAGAAGCCAAAATAATATTTTAAAAATTTTTATCTCTGTATATATGTTTGTTCTGTCAAAAACTAATACACCAAATTGTGGTTTTCACTGTTATGGAATATTCATATATATATGTCACTTCATCTAGCATTGGTCTATTTCATTGCTACTGGGTATAATTCACATTAGAAAAATATATGTATATTATTATTACTATGGAGTTCATGCCAAGGTACTATTTCTCTATTTCTTAAATTTCATATCAACATGAATAGGAAATCTATATTCTAAGGACTAATATTGATTAAATTTCAAATAAATTTAAATTTATTTCATGATGCATTATAAAATAGTAATTTAGCAAAATTGCCAAATTAAAATATTAGGTTAAAGAATAGATTTAGAGGAATAGCACTTCAGAATTGACCCCTATGTGTATTCTAACAGAGATGTGAATCAAGCGTGCTTTATCCCTTATCATTAATATTTACATCAAGGGAGATATTATTACTAATTTAAAAAGTGAAGAACTTTTATGGTTTCTAAACCACTTGTATATTATAAGAACTAATTACTGAAACAATGTTTTGAATGTTGATTTCTTTTTTTTTTATAGCACCATTACTAGAGAATACTACAGGGGAGAAGCCATTAAGGGAGGATTATCACACTGTACAACTATTGGGATTAGTGTTGGAATTGCTGTCCTTCTGTGTTGAACATCACACATACCATATCAAGACCTGCATATTAAATAAGGCAAGTAATGTTATTAATTATATTAAAAAATAAAGTGCTTCATGTTTTACATTTAAATGAATCACAAATATTTTTTTATAAATTGCAAGTGGAAACTTTAAATAAATACTGTGTAAATAATATAAATTACAGTATTTTTTTAAACTTTATCTACATTTAGTTTTTATTTATGACTTTGTATATTGACGGCATGTATTGATTGACCATAATAAATAGTAGTTTTTGTCCTTTTCTATTCCATAAAGTAAGTTAACTTACTTTATGAAATAAGGTAAGTTAAGTGGTAACTAACACATTCACATTTATAGTATTAGTAAGGAGTACAAAATATCGCCGTGTGTACCCCGGCACATAATGGGCTACCCTTTCTTGTGGATGTCGTAAGAGGTGACTAAGGGAGGATTAGGGTGAGGGATGGGCAGCAGCGTCCCTCTTAAACCATCTCTAAAAGCTTAATTACAGTTGCCAACTCGCCTGGCAAGCGTGGAAACTAGTGGCAAAGCTCCCCTTATGGGGAAGACTTATGTCCAGCAGTGGACAGCTAACAGCTGAAATAATAAAACAAAATACTCTTATAATAATTGTTAGACGGTCAGGAATTCAATATTGAAAGGAATCTATGTCTTAAATAAGTAAACAAATATAGATTTTGTTTCATAGCGGTTGTCAATGTGTTTGGTGTAATTGGTGAAATAATGTATTACTTAATTAATTTCAGGACCTCCTTCGTCGCATCTTAGTACTTATGCGGTCGACACACACATTCCTGGTGCTAGGCGCGCTTAGGTTTATGAGAAAAATAATCGCGCTTAAAGATGAATATTATAACAGATACATCATAAAAGGAAACCTATTTGCACCAGTTGTTGATGCCTTTCTGCGAAATAACGGCAGGTCAGTTGTATTATTTTTCTAGTGCTAATCTTTTGACATAATTATGCTGTAGTTTAAATTATATTATGTCATGATAAACTGCCGCCTATATTAGCTGCAGAATTATTATTATTTATACAAAAATTTTAGGGCATATGTGTTACGATTACAATTTTAAAAATTTCATAAGAAGTGCATGTTTCATATGTATGTGTTTTTAGTAAACATTTTCAATGTAATACATCTATTGCTCATGGCTTAGTCCAGGGGACACCTGGTTTTCCTACTGCTATTCCTAGATAGCCTACTGTGAAATATTTTCTGAAAATTCGAGGCCAAACGAAGCACAAATTTCACATTGAAATTACATAATACATACTGTTTAAAAATATTAAAATATTGTTCCTTTGGATTTTTATGGTAGGATTTATGATAAATGAAATGTTAAGCTCCATTTACTGGACCGATTTCGATATGAACAAAAACACAAATTGAGTCCGAAAATTCGGGATTTCATTTTATGGTAGGACAACAGTAACATGAGATTTTTGAAAGCTAGAATAAATATTATTCCAGTTCGCACATTTGGACCTTACAACAAAAAGATGGTAGGCTCCAAACTTTTTAATTTCATTTTGAGTATAGTTAAACACTTTCAATTTCAGATATAATTTATTGGACTCTGCTGTATTAGAATTATTTGAATTCATCAAGTTAGAAGATATTAAATCATTATGTTCACATGTTGTGGAGAATTACGGAAAGATTTTAGAAGATGTGGAATACGTACAGACATTCAGAACTTTAAAGATGAGATATGATCAACATCAAGACAAATTATCGAAAGAAAGAGAAAGAGGTATGGGTTCATTTATAAAAGAATAATAGTTTTCATCTTAACAAAATTTTAGATAGGTATTTTTATTTGATAAAGTTTTTCAAAAGAGTGATCTCTTTAACGCCACAATATTGAATTTTCCAAGTGTCTTAAGTTGGGTCAAGCAATACACATTCACAAAATGTCATTAAAATTGGTTGAGTGATTTTTAAAATTAATGTGATGGAACATATGATTTTTATATATTAAGATAGTGAAAAAACATTAAAATATCGGGACCAATTTGAATAAATATTAAAACTGTATTTTATTTTTTATCTTCCACTTATTCAGCATCTAATAGAAATCATTTAGTAATCGAAGTTTAGTTTGTAATCGTTGTAGAACATTATTAAAAACAACAAAACTGAATATTTTCCCCAAAATCAAACTTGTTCTTGTTCTTAGTTCATTGTCACTTTATGTGGAGTTTTTTTGGCGATAGAAATTTTTGTTTTGAGACTATAAATATGCAGTTCTCTTAATACCTCTTAGAAGAGGTAAATAAATATATCTTAGTGATAAATAAATAAATATGATAATATTTATGTAACAGTGAGCGGCAGCGTGGGCGTGGCTGAGGCCGTGGTGCCGTCGCTGTTGCGTACGCGGTACAGGCGTGAGGCGCGCGCGCCTGACGATGAGGAGGAGATGTGGTTTAACGACGACGACGAGCTCGACGACGATGCGCCGCTCGACGCCGCTCAGGCGCACGCACACGCGCACGCACATGCGCACGCACACGCGCACGCGCACCATGCGCTCGACGCTATCGGTAATTGTTGTTGTCATTTTTATAACATGGTTAGGTTGTATCTTAACCTAAATATATATACTAATTATAGAATGTTTTATATACTAATTCACGCATTCAATCAATGCCGCAGTATATAATTAGTTCGACTATAAATGAACAGTTAATGAAATGCCCCAGTAATCATTAAACAATTTAGGGTTTTTATTTCGTATTTGATATGTAGCCGAAAAACCGACACAGGACAGTCTTATATATAAGTCATCTGATGTTATTGTAGTTGACCATTGTAATAGTAGTAGAATATTATGTGGAGAATAATATAATATGGAGCCATAATATTACTATTCAGACATGGGCTTGATGGTCAAACACAAACTTCTAATGGGCTTGATCATTGTGTAGTCACTTGTAGTTATTTAAATGTCTCTTAAATATTTAATTTAAAAAGGGTCCGTATTTTAAACTTTACGTTAACCTTACAGGGAAAATAGTTGAAAAGAAAGTGTGCTCAAGTACGGAAAATGCAAATGGTCCAAGCAGAGTGTTGCTGAGCACAACTGCGGCCAGCAAGCCAACACACACTGATGTTCAGGTATCTTCGCCCAGATTACTCAATAAGGTAAACTTTTAGTTCCCTACACCTCTACTCTACCTGCTTAGCTGGGATACATCATATAACATAATATATTTATGATAAATATATTATCAGGGATTGTAATTATTTTGTGATAAATTATTTTGCATTTTATAAACGTAATGTCATTTGTTTATGGAATGTTTTTATTCTTTATTATATAATAATATATTGGTAACATATTCATTCATTGACACTATTTAATGCTTATTATAATGAGTATATTTGTTGGTTAACAAATTAAAAATATATTTTTTAATAAACTGCATTCTCTACTACTTTATGGAAATTTTATTTATTATCTTAGTAACATATTTAGATAAATCTTCTGTAAAATTAAATATTTTTATGTGTTGAATGGATGTCTTGCATGCACAATTTCTAGGGGACATTTGAAACTTAAACACACATTAAAAATAGTCGTAATCTATACTAAAGTATGACTACTGCCTGCCACTTTTGTGCTAATCTTATTACTATCCTAAGACTCAAAATAGGACTTTTAAAATTAACACTGAAAAAGCAATGCACTGTGCTTGGTACATACACACTTTAACACATACTTAGACACCATTTGTTTAGTTAATAATGGTAGCCGTGGATCACGCCGTTTTTTTTATAAAAACCGAGTATATTTAAGACACGAATCACCGTAGATATTGTAAAAATGAAGATAGGATCCGTTATATGACGTTTTATCTGCTTTTGCTTTTAAGAAATTTTAAGATGTAGTTTGGAATAAAATTAGTATGACGCCAATACTAGGGTCTATTGATTGCACAAAGAATCTTCTAAATCTGTGTAGAATTAATGACCAAATATAATTGATTCTATTTATTATTAATTATATGAAGTATTTTTAGTATATTATATTTGGACCACTATCCAATATTCTATGTACGACCTATGGTTGACTGCCATTTTATAATATATACAAAAAAAAAAAAATTGAATTTATGTAAATTTAATTTTTTTTTGTACTATATACTTATTAGTATGTGCCAAATAAATATTTTTCCTTCTTTCTTTCTTAAGTGTATACCGCTTTTTTTGATTTGCGAATTAAATATGGGTTTACATGTACTTTGGGTAACATGGGCTCAAAGTAATTTGTTTTGTTAAGGCTGGTGTCTAAATATATTTTTAAAACAACTTTTAAAAAAAGGTATTTTCCCACTAATGTATTATAAAGATTTTGTTGCGAGACCTTATTACTTTGCATTGAAAAATAGAATTGCATGACTGTATAAATAATCAAGACGTATGAATGCAGCTAACATCCTTTTTTGCTTATAATCTCTAATTTTTATAAAACGTTTTTTATTTTTTTTGTGATAAATTGAGGTGGCTAAAGTAATTAAAGTAATATTATAACTGTAATAGCACATTTTTTGAAAATATGACCAATTAATTATAATTTGTTAAAGTTTATTTATTTTAGCCATTACATTTAAATTTTTCTATTAATGTTATTTATTACTTTTAAAAATTAGATGGTCTTATAAATAATAAAGCATTATGAAATCATAACTATTCGCCATAGGCAGCAAATTGGTTAAATTAATTGTATTGAATATTAAACTAGAATATTAAACTAAACTACTTACAGTTTGATGATTGCATCTTGAATATGTACATGTATACTAGACACGTGTACAATGAATTATCTACAGCAATTGTTCATTCACATAAAGAACTATAAAAATTTATAGAAGTCCATGAGTTTGCAGACATTAAATACACCTACTCTGTTGTTAATAAGACCTTTATATGAGTGGGTTTATAACGATTCTATATTTTTGTATTCTAAAATTTCATATTTTGAAGTACATTTCATAGTTATGTGAAGTTCATAGCATAGCGGCCGTAGATTTTCTGGTAGTGACTATTTTTCGAGAAATGCAAAACATGTGCTTGAAAGGCAAATATTGTCGTTTCCTAAAACTGTTGTTAATGACAGGGCCTGGTGGACTACGATGGAGACTCTGATGAGGAGGAGGAGGGCGGCGGGGGCGGCGGCGGAGGCGGCGGCGGCAGCGGCGAGGAGCGTGACGCTAAGCGGCCGCGCCTGGCGTAGTGTCTCCATAAGCTGCAGCGTACTAGTTTCAAGGAATATATGAGCTCTCCGCCCCGTCTCGCTGCTGTGCATTATCCAGTAACGCGAAGGAATACTGTAAGGAAATATTGTATGGTATTCTAGGTCTAGGGCGTGTTAATGAGATGAGAACACGGTTTGACTGAGCTTTACAACATGTAAAGAATACAAAAGGACAAGACGAAATTCAGATAATATTCACAATAATACCATATAAGTCAATAACAGCCTCCAAGGAACGAAGATCTAACATGAAAATATTAACTTAATACCAAATCAGCCATCATAATATCCCAATTAATATAAAAAGTAAAAAATTCGAAAGTTATTTTCCAATTTAGTCTATCGGGGAACATTGTTTAATTTTATCAATAATATTACTGGACTTCGCCTTGGTATAATTTGATTGTTACACCTTAATATTGAATTTTTCTCAGATGATGTAGTTGTGAGAAGTCATTCTTGTTTTGTATCAAAACGTGACTCGTCGGGCATATGGATCAAGTTATATGACTGATTTTATTTGTAACTAGAAAAATTGAGAAATGGTTAAACAGTTAGATAAAGGTTAATCGTTAAATGTGTGTTGAATATAGTAACTAGTGAGCTATATAAATTGATCCATCCCGACTTTCATCTCCTTAAAATACCCTTGAACAGGGATGCAAGGTTGTGTTAACTGTAAGTATCAAAAATTAAAAGTTTAGACATGAAATTAAATTTCTATTAAAAGTTTACATATGAGCTTTAATTTCATGTTTAAATTCGTACCTTTCTATTTTCGATAATTTATGATTACATTAATATATTAAACAAAATGTGTAACGCATTATATGTAGACCAAAAATTTTTGGATAAACTATGATACATGAAATAGAATCAACATGGGATTGTTTTACTGTGTTTGATACTATGCTATCATGTTTTTCTATATTACTGAATAAGTATCATATAGTTAACGCAACATTGCGAGTCCCATAACACGAATAGCCGCTAGACAGTAAAGTACTTTTAGTCGGGTTACGTCCATTTTGTGTAAATAATATGAGTGCTGACATTAAGTGTCCACTTTCACAGCTAGTAAACGTATGAACCTTTTCATACATAGTATAATTACTTTAAATGGTATCAGAATGTAGAACAATATATTGGTTATGAAATATTTAAATGTCAAATAATTTAACGGTTAGGTTACTTTGCCGGCGAATCATAATCACAAAAGTACAAAGACAAATGTGTGTGGGAACTACACGTCTAGTGATAATAGAACACCGCAAGTGTGAATGTGTAAAAACATGTTTATAAAAAAAATCTTCATTTTACTATATGACAAGACCAATAATTTTTTAATATGAATTGAAATAAGTGCTGTGGAATTGCTACTCACTAATGTGTTTATATAATGAATATTAAAAAAATCGTATTTTCTCAATAATACCCATAAAAATTTATAACAATTTATATTTTAGTTAGTTGAATCCTGAATCAGATTACACTATCACATCAAATTTTGGAAATTTAATAATATATATGGTAATTACAATATTTTCCTGTATAACTACATTATTAATAAGAAAATTGCTTTCATCATTAAGAATTTCTTATTATAACATGAATTTAACAACTAACTAGAAACAGTAAAAATAATCTGCAGTTAAATTGTGTACACACTTTCATAGGTATTTATTGTTAAAACTTGATGTGATAGTGTTAGAATCTATAGTAACATTGGCTACTGCAGTGTTATCCATAATATTTACCTTTCAACTTCAATGTGATTAATATTAAAGATGCCAGATTATGTTTCAGTAGGGCTGCCATCTATATAATTTTTTAATGAAATAATTTATCAAACTCATTATATTTATTCTTAAAAGTTATATTTTACATACATTACATGATTGGGGTGTGTGTATGTGTCTATTGTATTAAAAATAATTTTGTGTAATTTCTAGGAATGTCAGCCCTATTTTTCAGCAATGGTAATGTTGGACACATGGCTATGAGTACATTAGTTTTTTTGGTTCTTTGTTGCTTTTTCTTTCATAAACGCTGTGTGGAGAAAACAGCATGTTTCTGTAGCATAAATTAAAAAAAAAAAGTAGTTTATGTTTTTCTTTTCTTTACATTTTTAAAACTAAGAAACATTGGAATAGAGGTTACATAGTTTGATATATAATAACACAAATGTATAAATTTCTTTAAACAATTGAGCCATGCTGTTTTGAAACTTCTGAGAGCTACATAAACATGGAAGTCAAAGCTCTAACTTGACATCTAAAAACGTAAATAGCTTAACTCCGTACTTAATACGGATTGGACATGTATTGATAAAGGCCTGCTAGGATATATTCCTATTGTCCTAAAAAATATTGTGTATTAAGTATCCATAATTATTTTATAGGATGATTAACTTGAAGGCATCATATTTTCAGGCCATGGAACCTATTTTTAATAATTTTGCATTCCTTAAAATCTTGAATGATGAGCTTCCTTCAGATATGAAAAATATAGATATTTTTGGGTTTGAATCATATATCCAATTTAGTTTGGGGTTTTAATGTCAGAGATTTGGGCTTTTGACATAGACTATTCTCTACATGTTTTTGAAACTACATCAATGATCACCGAGATATTATAGCATAACTATGTCCTACCTAGTGTATATGTAACGGAATAGTATTTAGGTAATTAACTATTTTTATCTATTGGAAGCTCATAATTTGTTGAAAGTAGAGAACCATCTATATAATTTGCCTTTACTAAATCCTGAATATGCTTGCATGTTTATCTGGATCTTGAATCGGTTTATTTAATTTTCATGAAGAGGTTTATGGCTAGGCTATTTAAGTTTTTTGATATACAAATCTTCAAGTCTATTTTCTTTCTAGTTTCTATATTGTGCTTTGCGAATGGTTGTACAAATTTTTGTTCTAATCAATATTCTTGCATATTAACATTGGTCGAAACCAAGTCTGTTGCACAATTAACTATACTTGATCTAAATAAAGTTAATAAATATAATTGGGCATCAGACTCGGGCTGGCTGACAGTGTTGAAAGGGATAATTAAGAATTTTAGCTTGATAGTGTTTTGAGATCCAGATTTATATGTTTTGGAAATATTTTACGGCAGCTATTTATATAGTGTATTATTAGTTAATAGTTGTCGGGAACGCTATGCGTAGAATTTATGTGCAGTCTTCTTCATGGTCTTTGTAAATATATGGTGTTTATTACACGAAATATCGTCAAGTTAACAATATTTTTTATGCCTTATTTTTGATGTACTTCTTTTTTTCTCTAAGTATAATGTTATTTTTGTCCATACTTTAGAAGGTCTAATATTTCGTGTAACATAATGCTAGGCCTCTGTCATAGTGTTCAACTTCTGATTGGACTTAAGTAGATTCTGATCTATATTATATAAATTTGATCTCTATTGTGATTGCCACATTTTCAAACTAAAAAGTTTAAAAGGAGACATAATAAATATTTGTAATTAATTTTTCACAATTAGTATTAATATTTATCTGAGATTACGATTTATAGCATGTTACAGTTGCATGTTCTTATTGCTTTACTTAGAATGAGTATGTCAGTATTAGTTTCTTTACTTTCAACAAATCAAAATGGTTCAATAGTCACGATTGTGGCTTTTATACACTGCAAAAGTAATGTGTATGTGATAAACTTATCTGATTAAGATTCATTTTATTACTGTTAACCTCTAGTTTTATCGTTCGTATTTTGTAAATAATATTAGATTTTGTAAAATATATTTAATCTGGTGATCATCTAAGTACACACGGTATGTAAAGCAGTGAATTAGAATCGCTTTCACCTCACTTATCGCCAGAAATGTGGTATTAAATAGACATTTCATGTGGTCCAAACTTTATTTTATTCTACCTTTATATAACATTTATGTAGGCTTGTGTTTGAATGTACACAATAATACAAACACTTCCTTATATGATAAGGAATAGTTAATACAGATAGTTCAACTGATTATTAATTTTATTGTTGATACTAAATACCCGTCAGTGTTAAAAAAAAAAAAAAATACTTATTGAGACATAGTCAAAATTTAGGACCAAAGCATGTAAATATTTGTGTTCTATGTCATAGACATAGATCCTGTGTAGATGGCGACTTTTAGCATTAATTAGCTGTTTTATAGCATTACTGATACCACATGCATAACTCGCATTTACTATGAATACGATGTGCCTAATGACGTTTCTAAGTAAGATATGTGCGACTGACGTTGATTGCTTTCTTTGCTAGTTGTTACATTACACTATTTTAATGTAAAAGTCTCCTTATGCACAGGTCCATAAGTATACATATTTTAATGAAATAATAACTATACATGAGCAAATGTTTGTGGATTTTTTTTTTCTTTGAAACAAATTTTAAGTATATTAATGATTGATTAATAATTAAAGGGGTTTACTAAAAATACTCAATAACAGGGAATTCTTGTGACGTAATTGTATGGAAATGTCTATAATTAGTTTATTGTAACCAATATAAAAAAATATGAGTAATAAAGCCGATTTTTCTTAAAGCATCACATAAATAAGTCATTTAATATAATTTATAATTTTTACTACCAAGTCAAATCGTATACATTATACTATGTGCAGTGATTACTTTATAATTCTCTATCAAACTGAACCTTATGGATAATTATTACTAAGTTTTATATAAAACGCAATTACAAGGACCTATGTGCGGGTAATAAATATTATTACAGGATAATTTAATAACTGATGATCATGATCAGTTAATTGGTTAATTAAAAAATCCTGTGATTCATTTTTGTTACTATATACTGAAATTTTTCTTAATTACACAAATGAAGTAAGAAAACCAGAATGAGTAAAAAAATATAAAATGCATGTGTTGAAACATTGTTTGTGTAGGTATAAGTCAGTGTCCAGTAACTGCCTGCTTTTAATTTGTAGGGTTGATTTGCCTACTTTGAGAGAGTAACATATTCGGTGCTGAGCAACCAACGTTATACAAATAATACAAACAACGTTAAAATTACAAAAATATTGGGTATAAGTATAGTAGCGGTTATAAAAAATAATGTCACCGTTTATGCATACAATTTCAGTATGAATGAGTGCGAAACAAACTTTCGGTCTGAAATTTCGGAATTAGCTTTCTTGGTAGATCGGCAGTATATTAAGAGTTACATAATGGTATCAATTCCAATTATTCTATTTATTATAACAGTATCTAATTTTATAATTTCTTAATTGTTAATTAATCCAAATATACATATCAATGTATCAAACAAAGAAACATTTGATCTCTATATAAAATAATAAAGTACTTGTCACGTTTGCAACACGTCTTCGTATCTTTGGATGATGGTCTCACTTGTTACCAGCACATTCTTCAGCTTATATTTCATTGCATACTAACAATAAGTGTACTACAATAAATGCACAGAATAAAGCGAGGCGAATTATTAAATACGTGGGATGAATTTGTCAGAATATATTGTAAATATATAAACGTTTTATGTAATAATTTTATTTTGAAATCTGCCAACATCCACGTGTATAATAGAATCGAGCTGTCAATTAGATTTATACGATTCTTATATTCCTTGAAATAACTTCCCGTTAATATTATACGAAGTTCTAGGTGAAAGTAGACTGTAATGATGACTATTTTTTATTATCTGTCTAGGTGGATGACCATCATAAACTAATTTATACACAGAATAAAAATAGATTTACCTATTGGCAAGTTGTGTAAAGTAAATAAGCTTACTATAATGCTATTACTATGATGTCACTAGTTAAGTAAGCAATATAAATATAAGGTAATATGAACAGATGTTTTTTTTTTTATTTATACCTTTCAAATTTACATTTACGAAAGAGAATTATGACGTAGAATATGGAAAAAAGTTATCTAAGTGGAATAATGAATCACCCAAGGTTTGTATCGACTACTTCAGACTTAAGTTTGGACGCGAGGGCTCTGCGAAGTTGCATTGCATCTGGTGGCGGTGGGGGCGTCGCACCGGCCAACGCAGCCTGCGCCACTCGCGCCGACTTAGGTCTAGGGACGCTGACATGAGACCCTTCACCACCTGTTAAATGTATTTAAGTATTTATTACAAATTGCATGTATGTGGGTACAGTTAGTGCTTAAATTATCGTTGGTTAGTATATTTAGATTTTAATAATGAAATAATTTATCTGATGAAATTTATATCGTGTAAAAAAAAATTGATTATTCTGCCTCACTTTTAATACTGCATGTAACAGATAATTTTAAGTATAAAAAAGTCTATAGAAATAGTATTTGTAGTCCTGTGCATTTCATTGTGAAGTATATAGAAACTAGGCCAATATGCACTTTTGGGCATCTGGAAAAAATAATTTTGTTATAACAAATGTTACACTTACTTCCAGATTCAGATTCTGCATCCCCAACTCCTAATTTTCGTTCACGGACTCGTTTCTTCAAGGCCAATAGTTTATCCCTTTGCTGTTTCAAATATTCTTGTCGGGCATGTACTTCTTCTTCACTCACCTATCGATTAAATAATGCAGAATTAAAAGTCACGACAGAACGACAGATGTTTTAGAACTAAATTTAAAAGTCACTAGCGTACCTCGATTTTTTTCGGAGGTGGTTTTGGTGGTTCAATTAGTACTTGCGGTTTTTCTTTAATTATTTCAACAGTTTGTTCTTTTTCGACTTTTTCTTCTTTCTTCTCAAAGTTTTGTAATTTTGAGAGTAAAGTTTGTTTTTCAGCCACTACTTCTTCCGGTGGGACGTTAATTATTTCATCTTTTAAGTCTTCAAGCTGTAATCTATAAGTAACATTTATAGTTTTTAATACATTTTTCAATACACCATATTATGAGATAAATAATATATATACTTACTTTTTTATTTCAGTCATAATTTCATCATTATCAGGCCAACCTTCGCTATCATCACTACGTGATGAGTCTATATCTTCAGGCTCCGAAGAAAATATATTTGGCATTGCACCAAACCGCCTTTCGATTAGTTCCAAAGCCTGGAATTAGGAGTTCCGTAATATACCAGCCTACATAATAGTTATTCTTTTAACAGATTTGGAATACTGAACTGTGTCACAAAAAACTTGGATTTAACAGGATGACTGGTATCCTGGCGCTCTATGTAGTTTAGAAATTTGTTTATAGTAAAAAAACAAAATAGCGTAGCAGCTATATATATATATATATATATATATATATATATATATATATATATATATATATGACTTAAGGTGATAGTGAAAATTAAACATGAAATACTAGATGATGGTGGAATTGAGACTTGTGGTTTGTGTTAAATATTTTGTAATTAAAGATAATTGAAGTAAGATTTCTAAATCGAGTAATTTTTATTATTAGGTATGAATGTGAAGCAACAGATTATACGCGATCTTTTCTTGAAAGTTTACACAATTATAATGTTTCTTGCAAGTACATGTATGTGTTTTTTCAACGTTGTAGCATACAAGAAAATAAAGACAAAAAATACGATATATTAATACTATATCAGTATAAAATAAATAAAACCACTCGCCAATTTAGAAACTTTGCCTTAAATTATCTTTAATTACAACAACAAAAAAAAAAAAAAACCACACGTCCCGATTCTAGCGCCATCTAGTAGTTCGTATCCAATTATGTTTAATGACCAACCACTTTGAGCCAGCCACAGCTATCCATGCGTTAATCATGAAGGACCGACGTTGACTTTTGTACATTATATAGCTTACAAATAAACTGGATCCTAAAATTGCCTACCTGTAGTTGGAGTTCGACATTCTTATGCGTCATCATCTTCACAAACATGTCGTAGTCATTGGCTGCCCAGATCTGCTCAAAGAGTCTTCGATGGAAATGTGCGGGCAGTCCGGCTAAATCGCGAGCAGAGAGTCTACATGCCGCTTCAAATTGATCTGCAGTGATCCCGATGTCATCCATGAACGAACCTAACATCACGTCCACCTGCGATTCAATAGATTTTAGGTGTATACAAGAAGTTTTCAATGGTATTCATTCGGTGAATAATGTAATGTAAATGGGTCCAAGTGGGCCTATTACTAATATTATGCTGTCAGATTCTCCTACACGTCGATCCCTGGAAACTCGTGGTACTTGTTACGATGGGCTATCTGACACAATTTCACCTTCAGGTGTCTTCCCTCACCAGTATTGTTTTAGCGTATACCAATAGCACATGCAAAGTTAACATTACATTTTTATTAGTTAAAAATATAAATACCTATTGTTTATATTTCTCAACAAAAAACAACTATATTATTCTACAGTTATTTACAGAGAAGAAATATCTATTAATGTTATTTCAATAAAATTCTTACCAAGTTACGATATTCATCATGAATCTTTTTATATTCTGGTCGGTCGAGGACTTCGCCATTTTCCGTAGGTTCAAAAGCTATAAGATAATTATATGCAATATTTAATATATTATAACACATTAAAAATGAACATAAGTTTTATATTTAATTTCTTATTAATTCGCTAAATATAATCCATCTACTTGTAACTGCCATAAAATCGCGTCGATGCCTGATCTTCACGCTAGGACACACTGTTACGAGAAACTGTATAGCGATCATTTAGGAGCATATTCTAGATCATTCAAACTCGAACCAATTTAGAAAAGTTCGTTTCGAATCTTAAAATCAAACCCACGACTTCACTTTTACACAGTAATATCCCTACTTTGGTATTGAGCAACGAAGACTGACAGTTATTATATATTTAAAAAACTTAAGCAAATAGTGATATTTAGCCGTCAAGGTCTACAGTTGGTGGTTATCTATTTACCTACAAATAGTTAAAACGTGGGTTTGAATTTGAAATAGGTAAGATTCTGAACTGTTATTTCTCTAAATTTATCTCATAACCTAATATTTTAATTTAATAATTTCACAAAATTATTGTTTTATGGACCATCATAAACTAAAATTATAATTTGCACTTAAATCTATTAGAAAATTAGTACATCTTCGACCATACAGTAAAGATTACGCTGTGATGTCGAATTGAAATTTTAATTTTAGTGATAGGTTTAGAGAAATGACGCCTCAGAATCGAACCCGTAATGTTGAGAGGGGGATGAGGTTCAGTTAGTGATTCAGTTGATAGCAATATACCCTGTCTGGTCTATGTCCATGCTGTCCTTTTTAAAAACCATTGTGGTTAATTCAAGATGAATTCATCACCATGGAACAACTGATCTGATTTCATTTTCACCTATCATCTCTCACTGGTATCCTGTTAATGTATATCGACAACGCAGGCGGGGATATCATTTCATTTTCATCCATTACAAAAAATAAATTGTCATAGTTCTGTACTTCTTAATCATAGTAACACTATGACAAAGATAATCTTCCATTTCTAAAGATGGTTAGCAAGTAAAGCCCGATTCTATTATTTCCCATATTTTATAATTAGATAGTTTTTGAAGTTTGTTAAATTTCTTTGTCTTTAGAATTAGAACTTTCAGAACATTATTAATAATGTAATAATTACAAATAATATCTAGCAATTCCTTGCAATAAAAAAAAAAAAAAATACTGGGTACCTATATCGATAGTCTCAGATTGAATAAGTACAATACACAATACATACGCAAAGATTTCTCTTCTATAAAAGTCTGCAACGGAATATTCCATACTGGACCGTGTAGGAAACCCACGAGAGAATCAAATACCCAAGCATTACTATCCAAATTTTCCATCTGGTAGATAACAAAATTAATACAATAACGAACAAGAAGTGTGTACAAACTATTCAGTAAGTATATTTTCACCCAGGTAACTGAGTAGGCAGAACATTACATTTTTATGACGTTTATTTGTAGTATCCGTTGTTATGGTTACTAGTCAATATAGCCCGTTAATTCATGCTCGACGTTTTTGTGATGTGATAGAATACAATGGTGTTATTAGTTGTCTACCTACTCTATTAAATGTAGGTAGACAGGTACCCCTTATACCAATATGATATATTTATATTCTAAAACGATCCATTACTTCCCTCTGTTGGACCTTTTATATCTTTGTATTAGTCGTGACGTAGCTTATGGAGGTTTGGTATATGGTTGGATTACGGCTATCCTCTGAACAATAATTACAATAATTTATTTACTTAAAAAACAATAAGTAACAATTTCAGATAAGAATATTTTTTTGTTGTTTTACTTTTTAGGGTGCGAGTTTTTAGTAGTTAGCTTATATAATATATAGTTTTTAATTTTTCTTTTTATTTAAATTATTTTCGGGCAATAATTTTATGATAAAAATATTTATAGATCTATTTAAACTTTAAACAGAAAATGTATTTAGCTCACAATCAAAGCGTGATTTTAGGAATTATTCCCAATTATTAGGCGGATAACGTAGTGATTACTTGTCCTGTGGTGCACGCAAGAAAAGCTTCGAGGAACAGCTAACAATATATTTTTTAAATGAAACATCGCATCATTAAAAAAATCAGTTCATGATTTTATGTCTTCTAGAGGGCGTAATATTCTATTTAATATGATGTCACTCTATAAACAGCAGATGATCAAAATGCTTTCAAAGAAAACAAATACAAACGGAATATGTCATATACATACATATATAACGATTAAAATCAGAACCCCCTTTTTTGCTTCGTCGTAGTCGAGTAAAAAGTGGGATAGTGGGATGGGAAATATCAGATATAAAGTTGGTAAAATATTCTTCAGATACTGGCCAATATTGGCAACAATGTATATTTCGACTGTGGCTTCGACGAATTGCGTAATAAAGACAAATGTTTTGGCAAAATGCAAAGAAAAAATATCCTAAAATTTGGTAAATTACACTAAAGAAGAAAAAAGAGAAACGTCAAGTGTCAAAAGTAGATGTTATTGTTTCAATGTCAATTGCCAGCTGCAGTTGATACTATCATAGAATGTTTTGTTTATCTCTGACTTAAATTTAAAATTTTACTTTTTACATATATTTACAGAAATTTGGGAATTTCTTTTAATATTGATTCATTTTTTGTATAACCATTAAGGAATTATGTGTTTACGAAATTGTCTGATAACTGTTTATTGCAAACTTCTCGGTTTGCGTTTATTCGCATAACCTTATCACAGATTCATATAAAATGATAACAAATACATTTTAAAACACTTAAAAATGGTAGAAAACGATAGAATAATAGAACACGAGAACGTAAACGGCGTTGGTTTGCTATTAAAAGTGGACAAAAGCAGCGGTTCTCCAAATTCCCGACACTTCACTATATCTTTCAAGAATAAACAGAATAGAAAATCCTGGATTAAAACATCATTATTTTTAGCCATATTGATGAATATAATAGCATTATGTTATGTGCACATTAATCTCACAGCAATATTAATCATAATAATTGTGTTATCATTCTTGGTATTCTTTTGGATAACTCACAGTGTGCAGTCTGGTATGTATTTTCAGTAAATGTTAAAACCATAGTTTAGTATTTACTTAGTTATATCTGGCAGTACTTTTTAAATTGTAATATGCTAACTTTGATAGTAAGAAGTACTGAAGTCTAAAAATCTGCAATTAATAATGTTCATAATATTCATACATGGTTGTAGCTCGAGGGGGGGGGGGGGGGGTTATTGAGTTATATATACATCCCTTCTAAAACATAATCAAAAGTCAAACTTTGGTTGCCAATCTGAATGCCAAGCATGGTAATTACAGGCACAACCACCTTTATGGGGGAGGCTATGTTGAACACTTAATAGCTGATAGGATACAATACAATGATTTAGTTAATTATTTGTTATAACATTTACAAATTATGGTATTGCCAAATGGATATTCAGTGGATATATTTAAAATGTTTATAGTAAAAATTTCAATACAAAAATAATCTAAAGATGGAGGTATTCAAGTCAAAGTAACATATATATTTTTTAATTACAGAAAGTCTATTAATTGTACCTACAGTGGGTATACAGAGTACCGTAAAATATGTAATTGGTAGGGAAGAAAATTTTGTTCCATGGTCCAGTGTGGATGATGTTATTATCAATGAAGTCATTAAATTGGTAAGTATTTGTAAATTTATTAATAACTGGTTTTCACCCATGACTTTGAATGACTGAGATATGCACCACCTACCTATTTATTCTTTAATTTCTTCCTTCCACCCATAGGTTGTCTGGAAGAGATTGCTTAGTAATAAGACCATCTTTTGTACTACATTATACTTATTGAAAAATCTTCAACAAGTCCTGTAATATTAGTACAATAAAGTGTTAAATAAATAAATATGTTGATCGACCGGTCTGTCCGACCAGGACGTCTGTCCTTCTGCATCCTAAATAGTAAATATGTGTACCAAATTTTGTGACAAATGGTTGAGCTGTTAAGACCTAAAGTTTTTTGTGTATTCAGATTATATATATCTTTAAAATGAAAAGAAAGAATACTAATCTGTTTCTGAATTTTTTAAATACATGTATGGTATATGTTTGTTGCATACATGTAAAAGTCAGCGTAAAAAGGTCTTCATATCAAGGGGTGCAACCTTCATTTGTATTTATTAATTTAATAAAATGAGGTTATTTTCCCCTATTTAAAAATAAATCCAATATAAATTTTCCATTATTATTATTTTTTTTTTATGTAAAATGTTTGCTGTTTTGTAATTACAAAGTAATAATGTAAATTTTCAGAATCGAGTGCTGTACTATCTTACAATTTTGGTAAAAACAAATCAGTCGAGTCAAGATGCAGAAACAATAAAATTAATGCCTTTATTTAAGGTATGTAATTATTTATTATTGTTACCATAATATTACATTAATTCTTAACAACATATTATTATTTATTAACCTATATAGAGAGAAAAAAAAATATACTATCTTGGGGTTTTTTCCTAAAGATAGATGACACAATTTTGTGTGATGGCTTTTTTAGATGTTATATTTCATATTAAAACATCAGTTTTTAAGTTGGAATAAGGCCATATAGTTTTTTTTAATTTATTTAGTTTTTTGCTCTTGATTATATATATGATATTTCGAGCCTTAGAGAGTTTAATTTTTGCAACAAAAATGGAAAAAATATAGTTTTTGACTTTTACAATGTTGAGTAAGTATTGCAAATTACTTTTGATGATTGAAGTTGCAAACCCAAAACTCAAATGAGGGATTAATAAATAATACCATATGCTATAAAGCCGTTAATGGCTACTGCTGTACAAAGGCTTCCATCTATTGGGAGGTTTTGGGAGTAGTTTTTGACGTTTTTTGGCAGGCAGGTTAGCAACCGCAGTTAGTCATTGGAGATATTTTAAGAGGGATGCTGCTGCCCATCCCTTGACCTTTAAATTCCCCTAAGTCGCCTCTTACGAGACCCACGGTAAAGGAAGGGGTGGTCTATTCTATGCCGGGACCACAAGGCAAATAATAATAAAAAATAATTAAGAGATTTAATAATTTGAAATACTATTTACACATTTTCAGTATACAAAACCAAGACTGCGTATGTTAGAGACAGTATACTCAGAGTTGCAAACGCTACTAACCGAGATAAATGGTGACCACACAGCTAAAGGATCGGGAGATACGAGATGAAGATTATTCTGGTATACCCATTTGAGAAGCCATGATAGGATGTATTGGAGCCGAGTATAGACTCGATTTGATAGAGAATTAAACATTGCTTAACGATGGTTGAGGATGTGGAAGTAGAGGGATTAGTAATCCTATAATATGTATTCAGCTTAGATTATATAGATAGAGCATCGAATATCAAAAACCGGTCAACTTTTTGTCAGCTAATTGTCAAATTTGTTGATTCGTTTTCTTTTATTATTGTACCATACTTACTTACGCACGCGGCGTATCCTGACGTATAAAATAAATATAGAAGTTCTAAAGTAATCACTCATAATTATTTATCACGCAACATTGTATCAAAAAGTTGACTCGCGTGTTTTGAAGCATTTGAATGGAGACACTCCATCTATATAACCTAAGGTATTTAGTTTGTTCAGGATGGATATAATCCATCTAGTTAGGGAATATCATGCTGGTAGAGGATGATTTCAAATCTTGGGCTATTATCATGCAGTAAAGTCGGCAATTATTGTCGGCAAAGTGTTTGAAGCGTTTTCATGAACACGACATTAGGTTTTCGAGCTAAATCGAGTTAAAGAAAAGATCAGTTACTTCAAATACCTCATAAACATTTGAACTTTATGAACAAGTTACTCATTTTAAGGTATCCTATAGGATTATGGTGTTATGCCTCCATATTATACCCTTCAAATCGAAACATAGTTTTCGATTTTGATAAATTTTCAGATTTTGATAAATGTAGATATGCATCATAATCAGGTATACATTTGATGTTTAAAATTCTTGTTATAAAGTCATCTTTTACCTTTTTTCCTTGCCTTCGAATATCCCATATATAATTTGCACATTGTTTCACATGTTTTACAATAACATATATTCTATAACTAGCTTTTACTTGCGGCTTTGTCCGCATATGTTAATATAATAATGTTTGTACATATGATAATGTTTATTTGTATGTATATATTTGTATACACTTGTGTGTGATGGTGTGAATAGCTTTAACCATTTAATTCCTATTTATATTGAAATAATATTGTAAACATACTATTTCAGTAAAAGGAAAATATAAAAATTAAGAAGAGGTATTACCACACTATCAAACATTATTGTGAAGATATACAGTAAATAGCTCATGTCAGAAATACTCATACAAACTCGTTAAATTAAATTAAAAAAAAATTTACAATCAAATGTGTTAGACATGTGTATAGTAGGTATAAGACATGCTTAAAATTTTGAGAATTTGGATATAACCATAGTTTAATATAAAAAAATATGCATTTGTTAACATTAATATTAAGAATTATATTCTTTGGTAATTTTTATGTTACAAAAGAACCCATCGTTTGTATTTTAGTTACGGGTTCTATAACTCCATGACTTAATGTAAATATTTCAAAAGTAGTGTCCGACCGAAACAGGTTTTACAGCCGAAACCGAAACCGAACTTTCGGCTTTGGTCTGAGTTTCGGCCGAAACCGAAACCTACTAAAACATATTTAAAATTTTTCTTCTATACTGAAATCTATCATAGAAATATGTCATATATATTCGTTACATACGGAAACTAAGGCCGAAAGTAGAATTTCTGGCCGAAACTAGCCGAAACCAAAACCGAAACCGAAAGTTCGGCCGAACACTATTCAAAATTCTAAATATTTAAATTTATTTTAGCTATTAAGTGATTTTTTTTGTTATAAGTCTACATTATTGTAATATTCCACTAAATATTCTTGTTCATAATATGTGTTTGCTCAAGATAATTTGTATAATTGTAATATTACATTCCATATTAAAAATTATACGAACAAATAAATAAATTGTAGTTATTTCTCAATTTATGTATCTAGTTATATAAAAAAAAAACAGCAGAAAAAAACTACATGCATTATTTCTATCCAGCCAGTAAAGTTTATAGTCGAACATATTAAAATATTGTAAACATTTTGCTAAAATATAAACGTCGAAAAACGATGTTTTCTGCGATTCTGAAAATACTTATTTTTTTACATTTTATAGAACTCTTCCCAAAGATATACGTATTGAAAAATAATGAAAAATTTAATACCTACTAATTTGACTGTTGTAAACTCTGTAATAAGTTTTAATTTTTGCACGCCTACATTGTGGCAAAATAAGTTTGAACTATAATTTTCTTCTGATATATATATATATATATATATATATATATATATATATATATATATATATATATATATATATATAGTATAAAGCATAGGCTGTAATAAATGCCGTCAGTATATAAATTTTTGCAGATTTTTTAAGTAAACTGTAAAATGAAAGCTTTTGCATAGTTATTTTTTTTATTAATTGTCTTGCGAAAAGTTATTTTAGATACAAAAAATTATTGTAGATACACAATTTGGGTACTAAATTCATGATTTCAATCTAACGTGTCTACAAAATATCTCGAACGTCGGTATTTTTTTACGATTAAAGTCACTGGTTTTTTTGCCTTTTAAAATGCACATTTTGTCATATGAAAGGTATTTGCGTCATCTATCTCTAGTTGCGACATCTATTTAAAACTATATCTAGCACTACAATAAGCTAAATTTAGTGTTCCAGTGAACGTGTAAGTACACCACGTATATGTAGATATTATCTATAAGTGATTTCCGGTCGCATGTGACAAAGATAAAATTTTATCACAAGATCGTTCATTCTGCCGATGGACTTTTATAATTTTAGCAATTTCTGAACTACTGTTTCTAATTTTCAATCGATACTAAAGCAGTTTTGTACTTCTATAAAATGAATTATATAAAAAAAAAAAAAAAAACTATACGAATCGTTCCACGACACAAAGAGTACCCGTATATTATAACTCCGTTTACATAAACAATACAATTCATTTTGCATAACATGCTGAGTTTCCTTTTAACGGGTGATACTGGTATGGCTACCCCATCTGCGCCATCAGTATATGCTGGCGGAGCATCAGTAAATGATAATGTGAGGATGAAAAGGTCAGCTAACCGATCAGGATGAATTCATCTGAAATTAATTATGATGGTTTCCAGGAGGGACCACGAGGAGGTCTACTTGATAGTGTATATAATTAGAAATAGGACTGTTAGTCTCCATTACTATCTAATAATACTTTTTTCCCCAATCCGCTGAGTTTGATAGTCATTTTGCACTCACGGCATAATATTAACGGACTAGTATAGTTTAAACGGCTGGTTATGATTTTACATAACCCGAGTTTACATACTATTGTATTTTTTTTTTAATGGATAATAAAGGAATATTAACACCGCCCACGCTAACGTTATACAGTGGCTGGCAGTAGTAAAGGATGATAGATGAGAATAAAAAGAAAGGTCAGTTAGCCCATCGTGATGAATACACCTGGAATTCAGCACGAGTTTCCAGGAAGGATCCCGTGGCGGTCGACCTGACCTGATCTGACCTGACTGATATACCCTATATGTTAGTAATGGAACTGGTAGTTCGCATTACTAACAATCCTTAAGACTATTGTATTTTTAGTTGATGATCTTATGTCTATATTTTGGTCTAGCTTACATTCGCGATTTCGCGTAATCGGGATGTACATTGACTAGGCTTTTTTTTTTTTTTTTTTTACAACACAGGGGGCAAACGAGCATGCGGCTCACCTGATGGTAAGTGACTACCGCCGCCCATGATCACCCACGACACCAGCGGCATTGCAGGTGTGCTGCCGGCCTTTTAAAAATGAATATACTCTTTTCTTGAAGGTTATGTTGTCGTATCGGTTCGGAAATACTGCTGCTGGAAGTTGATTCCAAAGAATGGTTGTGCGTGGAAGAAAGTGCCTTGAAAAACGCACGGTGGAAGACCGCCACTCGTCCAGATGATTGGGATGAAACTTTAGTTTGTGGCGGGTTGTACGGTGGTGAAAATCAGCAGCAGGTATCAATCCGAACAATTCCTCAGAACACTCCCCATGATAAATTCGGTAGAAGATGCACAGAGACGCAACATCTCTGCGCAGTTTCAATGGGTCAAGTCGGACAGTAAGGCGTTGACTATCGATAATTCGAGCCGCCCGACTTTGAATGCGGTCTAACGGAAGGAGTTGGTACTGTGGCGCTCCTGCCCACAGGTGAGAACAGTATTCCATATGCGGCCTGACTTGGGCTTTATATAATTTCAGGCGGTGTTCTGGCATGAAATATCGTCTCACCCTATTGAGCACTCCTAACTTTTTGGAAGCTATCTTAGCCTTCTCCTCCAGATGACCGCAAAACTGGACGTCGCAAGATATATCAACGCCCAGAATTCCTAGACTTGACTTTTTATCAAGGGAAGTGCCCTGAAAGTGAGGAGATACGACAAACGGCGTCTTTTTTGCGGTAAACGCGCAGACTTGTGTCTTTTTGGGGTTAAATTGGACAAGATTTTGTTCACCCCAGATCGAAACTTGATGGAGTGAAGTTTCGATTTCAGACACAAGTCTATTCCGGCACTCATCGGTATGTGCCCGCGAGATCTTTGCATGACCGGTATATAATGTATCTCCTGTACTGTCGTCCGCATAGCAATGAATATTACTTATCTGTAACATATCATTGATATGCAGAAGAAACAGAGTCGGAGATAGTACACAGCCTTGCGGGACACCAGCATTCAAAGGTTTTAAATCAGAGCATGCACCGTCGACTACGACCTTAATGCTACGTTCCTTGAGAAAACTGGCGACCCAAATGCACAGTCTCGCAGGCAACCCAAATGAAGGTAGCTTTGAAAGCAGCGCTCTATGCCACACCCGATCAAAGGCCTTCGCAATATCCAGACTAACTGCTAAGGCCTCTCCCTTACTCTCGATTGCCACTGCCCATCGGTGTGTTAAGTAAGCTAAAAGATCACCGGCCGAACGTCCCTGTCGAAAGCCATACTGGCGATCACAGATCAGCCGGTGCTCTTCTAGGTACCGGAGCAGTTGACGGTTAATGATGGATTCCATAACCTTCGAGAATAAGTAAGTGATAGCTATGGGCCTATAGTTAGCTGGATCTGAGCGATCTCCCTTTTTAGGGATCGGATGCACCAGAGCAGTCTTCCAAAACTTTGGGACTATGCCCGATGAGTAGCTAAGCCGAAAAAGACGCGTAAGAACCGGAGCCAACTCTGGTGCGCACGTCCTAAGCACAATTGGAGGAATACCATCAGGCCCACTCGACTTATGGATTTCGAGGGAGAAAAGTGCTCTACGCACTGAGCTATGCGTGAATTTAATGTCAGGCATAGAGCTCCTACAACACGTGATGGTCGGTGGTGGTTTCTCCCCGTCATCCAATGTCGAGTTTGACGCAAAGATGGATCCAAGAAGATCGGCCTTTTCTTTAGCGTTCTGGGCCAACGAGTCATCCTCCCTGCGCAAAGGTGGAAAAGATGACTTACAGAAATTTCCTTGTGCAGCTTTGGCAAGAGACCAGAAAGCTCGAGTCCCAGAGGGCAAACTAGCCAGTCTCTTGCCAATTCTACTAATATGCTCTGACTTCGCTGTGGCTATAACTCTTTTGAAAGACCTAGAGGCAGAGTTATATTTCTTTTTAAGAGCACTGGTGTTAGGATCTCGCGACGCCACACCTTTAGCCCAGGTTAGGAAGCACTCCTGTTTCAGACGAGATGCTGTTCTACAGGAGGCTCCATACCAGGGCTGGGATTTCCCGCCGACGGGCACCACAGAGTTAGGAATAAATAATTCCATTCCCTGAAGCACCACATCAGCAATGGAATCGGCAATGGCGTCGGGATCATCCAGTGTGAAGCAAACCTGCCTCCATGGGTAAGATGCGAAAAAAATCCGCATCTCATCCCAATCTGCCGACCTGTAGTGCCAAATGCGACGTCTACCCGTAGAACGAGGTGGAGTCGGACTCGTAAGAGGCACTTCGCTCCGCACCAAACAGTGATCCGACGATCCAAGCGGGGCTTCGACGGAGATCACATAGTTGTCTGGGTGGGTGGTCAGCAGAAGGTCCAGCAGTGAAGGTGAATGGTCCAACACATCAGGGATTCGCGTAGGCGAGGAAACAAGCTGTGTCAGACCATAAGCCAAAGCAAAGTCATGAACAGATCTTCCCGCATAGTCGGTTGTACGCGAACCAAGCCATTCGGCATGGTGGGCATTAAAGTCGCCAACAATCACGACTTCAGCGGAAGGAATCTGCTCAAGCAGGGAATCTGTAGCCATTTGGACGTGCTCAATTAGTTGGTCGGTTTCAGTGTTACCGCTGTGGGACCTGTATAGGCACGCATAGATGCGGGGATGGTCATTGCAATCTACGCGCAGCCATAGAATGGACAGGTCCGTACCTTCAAGAGTCCCAAGGCGTCGACAGCAGATATCCTCTCTGACATACGCACATACACCGGCACGCGAAACAAAACAATGTTCAAGCTTATACCCCGGGTAGGTCAGGTATGATGTTTCGTTAGGAGGGGATATCTGTGTCTCCGTGAGGAAGAGCAATGCCGGCCGCGCCGTTTCTAGGTGGTGGCTAAAAAGTAGCTTGTTTCTTACATTCCATAGAGTACCTCTATATCTAAATTCAATGTGATTGGTTAAGCTGTTTGTTACCTCTATCAGGTGATGAACAAACTCACATTTATAATATTAGTAAGAATATAATTTACTGTGTCTCGATTGTAAATCAAATCCATTCAGTCATTTCAGCTTATGCTTAAAATATTGTTTACGTATTTTTGTTTATACAAAATGTTTTATCGACATTTTACGTGTTCTTGTTTTATATCACATATTTGACATTAGTAAAAATTTGCAATTAATTAAATAGATTACATA